AACACAAACATTTTCTCCTGCTGAACAGCGTATGAGCAGAATATGAATCGTCGCTGACACATAAAGTTGAAGGTGCTATCAATGCTGTCATGCTAGTGGATGGTATATGTATCACATTTGACAGCAACTTTGCATCTGTAACTGCTGCTTATTTATGCAAAGAATCAGTAATCTCCCAAGATCATAATCAAATTCTGCCATCACTTAGATTTTCATTCCTTGGTCTTTGATGATAGCAAAGAAAAAATTTTTTAATTTCAAAAATTTACAGCAGCATCATGGTTAAAAAAGAACTCAGAAAGACTTTCATTATTACATTAGCTAAAGCCAAGAAAGTGTATATAAACATAAAAATTAAACATAGTCCGTAGTAGAGAAGAAAATGTAATCTAATAGATAGGAGATAATGTAGAAAAGAAGATTAAGTTGGATATAGAAAGTTTAACAGCACTATTTTTCATTAAAAGTTGACCCACTGCTCATATATCCAATTTAATATCTGTCAGCAAAGATGTCTTGACTTGTTTTCCTAAAGCTAAATAACTAGGCCTAGATGAGAGTGCTTCTTCGTTAATTAAAACGCTGATGAGAATGTCTAAAAAATATTCATCACTTCGAACATTGACGATTCCTAGGAATAAAAATATAGCTTACACTCTTTCCCATCAAACATCTCTTCCGCCCCTTCTTTTCAAATCAGCAAATGAAAAGATAATCATTCAAGTTGTTTTAGATAGTAGTAATAAGTAAACAATGACAAATTTTCGAAAACAAACAAATGAACAAAATCAAATCTTATATGGAGGAAGAATGACTGATCACTAGAATGGAAATAAAATAAAATAAAAATAAATCTTTTCCAAAACCATAGGTTGAATTTCACACTGAAACATTAATGAATGCTAATCGATTAAGTTAAGCCGCGAATCTTTCGGCAAAAAACAAATGGAAAATCTAACAGTGATTTCGAACACCTATTTAGGGAAATTTTTTGTATCGGAAAGAAAACTAAAAAGCTTACTTTTACCACATTTTCCACTTTCCAATAAGCCATTCTTTTGCTGCAATATAACAGAATGTTCTAACTCGTAAAGATCCCTTGTCTTCGCTGCTTCAACAACGTTCGTTTGACATGTTCCGTACTTTTGAGTACTAATATCGGGTACTATAGGCACTGAGACCTAAATCAACTCTTGATAGACAACTTTCGATTTATAAATATGTGTAAGTATGCAAGATTTCACAACCAAATAGATTCCGACAAAAATGAGTTAATGGTAGAGAACAAACACAGATTACCATATATGAAATCCACACTCTTAAGATTATAATTTTGAATTTATAATACAATGATATTAAGGAGTTTTCAAAAACAAACTTTTTTGACCTGTCGTGGCATTTGCTGCACTATCGTACAACCTGAACGTGATCCCAAACGTGATGGCATTACAATTACTGAAAATGAACAACTGATACTGTAAATTGTATTTCATATTAGTAAAATATCGACAGGACTTAAAAGTGTTTCTATAAATTCGTGCACTACAGCAAATGAGATTTAAGAAGAAGCAGAGTTAACCATTATACATCAATCAATTTCGAATTCTAATTATTTCTGAAGACAAAAACGCAGAAAATTTTAGCTCATAAAAAATGTATGTGTATTCGGATCTATAAATTTTAAATCCAATTTTTTTTTGTGGTACAGTGCCATAGTTATCAAGTGTAGTGATACTTGGAATACAAAAATTGATATGTATTCAAGTATTATAAGACTTCATAGCTGCAGCAGCACTGTGCCGTAAAATTACCTGAGCTATGTTTCTAGTATTATTGAAAGATCATTTTTACTGAATTCAGTGGGCTTTTTACCGTCTTTCTCTCTCATCCTGCTCCAACCATTTTAACTAATTTTGCTACAAAGTAGAAATACCAAACATGCTATTTTCAAACTGCCATGATGAGAGGAGGTGAAGGACTTAAACGGAAAATTTTGAGATGCCTCTTTAACCTTTCTGCTAGATATAAAGTACAACATCACAACTAAATTTTACTTTCGCCATAAACATCTACATTAATTGGCCGAGAGAAATGTTGAATGTTTCGAATAGTGAGGACATCGATTAGTCTTGTCACTGATACCAGTGATCATATATATTGCTGTTGTTGTAACAACACAACAAAGGCTTTTCTCCAGTAGACATAACTTTGGAAGAAAATGATTTACCTTTATGTTTTTTTATAGTAGCATGCATTCGATGGGTCAATAGTGGTCTCAGGATGACTGAGTTGAAGGCATAATATTCATTCAGAGATATTTGTACAGTACCTTAAAAGAGATATTATCAGCGTTCTGACAGCTTTTACACCATGAAGTAACGAAGAGAATCAACAAAATCGCAAAACAGAAGCAGGGTGAAGGAAAGAACAAGATGTAGCATCAACGAAAAAAAACATTTCTAATTTGAAAGCTGGTAGCAAGTAAAGAAAACTTAATTAAATGCATGCTGAATCACAACTGGTATTTAGAGAATCAAAAATGAATTTTCTTTATCAATGACAATTACTGTCTATCAAACTTAACATATATACTCATCCTGAACAAGCCTTTTCTGGAGATTAGACGAAATTTTACGGGACTAAATGTCTTATAATGAGCAAATGTCTTACGTCTTAATGATTATATATTACTGTGACAAGTGAACGTTACCCATCCTCAGAAGAATTGGTATTACCTAGAATAGATGAGAAGCCAATGTTGCAGAAAGACAGCTTCTACCACTTGACGATTAGCATCCCATTCTGCGCCTAGAGAGCACGTGAGTTATTTTCAAAGCTTGCTATACAGCATGTAATCCGCCAGAACCATATTTCTTATAATTGTTGATTCAAATTGTTCATGTCTTCTTCGGAGGTAAATAGTAAAGTTTTGCATAAATCGAGGGTATAAATTTAAAGTTGCTCTAACAAATCTGATACAATTAATAAAAGCTGTAATCTAAACGAATGACAATTCAAAAATAGCTGTTCCCACTGAATGGTCAATTATAAAACAGATCGATTAGTTATAAATTCTCTATTGAACCCATCTCAAATATTTCGTCACAATGTGGCATTAATAATGGTTAGGCAATGGCATCATATTGTGGAATTTTTCATGATATGTTGCCATTGCCGAACCATTATTATTTTTTACAATAATAACTAAATTCAAAAACTTTTCAAATGAACAAGTTCCTTATTAAGCCGACCTTGTATGATTTTAACTTTTATTCATCTTTTCTTCAACATAATTTTCGACCTTAAAAATCATATATTGTTATGTTGAAAATAAAAAAATATAAAAATAGAGCAAATAAAAAAAATATAAAAATATTAAAAGTCGTTTTAGAATTCCGATTAAAAAGCATTCACTGTTCATGTATGCTTTTCACTGCTTGATAAATGCTCATTTCATTTCGAAGACAAATTCCATTGAAAAATATGTTGTATAATTAAAGATAAAAAAAATTTGCAATACTAAGCGTAAAAATGACTTCGCTAAACGACCAAAAAAAAAAGCCCCAAAAAAAAGCTCACTTCTGTTGAAATAAATTATTGCCTTCTACTCTCATATGCAAATCAAATGAAATTTCACACTTACTAGCAAATATTAAATATTGTCAGCAAAAGTGCTAAATATTAGTTCCGTTCTATCATTCTTAATCACGACAGAAGTGGAATAATAAAAGAAAATCGAGAAGAATAGAAGAAGAGTATCTGAAAATTAAGGTTTTCTCTCATAAATCCATTCTTGAATAAGCTTAGTACTTTAAATCAGCTCATGGCTGATATCATCACTCTCTGTACTTAATCTCTGGTAGTAGTATACTTAGCATTTCATGCTACCAAAAGATCCCAGTAATTTTTAGACAATCAGATAATAACGAGTGAAAACGTAAAAATTGCAAAATATATAACATAATAGAAAAGTTCAGATTTTAAGAGAATGTAAACTATTTAGTAAAGACAACAACACATTGCAGCATGAGGAAGTCATTTATGGAAATTGGATATCGATCTTTTACAGACACACAACCTGAGCGCTACAGTTCACAGACAATTCCGCTGGTCGACCCATATAAATTGACACGATAGCTGAGGATGCACAACAGCAAATCAATAAACTGTCCTGTAACCGTCAACGAACTGTATCGAGTTTTTCTTGTTGACGAACTCAAAACATGCAATCTAATCTATCAACAGTAATACTTCGACAATAGCATCCAAGATATAAACACTGAAAACAATAATAATAACAATGATAATAATAATTAGCGACTCATCAACTGTTCACTCATATTTCGCATCACTAAAGGTCACCCCATTAAGCGCAATACAGCGAACTCGGCCTGACTCTGCTTATTTGTGTACTCCTCGCTTTCATTAATGCTTGCTATGGTATCATTTGACGAATGATAAAATGCATTACAATGGGTTTTTTGATAAAATTCTATCAAACCGGAAACTAATTAACTCAAAATAATCCAAACATTTTCCGGCGAAAAATGCAAAATAGGTAAATACAAAATATTCCACGCAAAAAAAATGTTTAAAAAAACGAAAAATAGTTTTAAAACAGTAAGAGAGGGTAGAAAAATTATTTTTCAATGAAAGGATGGGAATTGTAGTAACAAATTGGGAGAAATCGGACAACAGAAAAAACACCTAAACTTCAAGAATAAAAAAAATTCTAAATCATATCAGTATTAATCAGAATTTTTCCTAAACTTTGAAATTTCGGTATTCGTATCATTTAGAAAAAGGGAATAAGAAAAAGGAATGGAAGGAGGCAAGGACAAGCTAATCTTTCTATGAGTTCTCTTTAAAATTAGTTTGGAGAATAGAATTTCCGATCATAATATGCTTACTGAAATAACTTCATTAGATTTTATGGAAACTTCTGGTGATGCCATCTCTGGCCAAACATCATCTCTTTAGACAGGCCTACCGCCCATTCAGTACTGACAATTATCAATGATTCTGATTAGCTGCTCCTTCAGGGTCAACATATTGCAGAGCCTTTTCGACCCTTTTGCAGCTTCTGCGAATATTTTCCTCATGTGTAAATAAAATAATCAAATTTTGTAATGAACTTTGCTGTTAAAAGAGTGCTCAAGATTAAGAAAATTTAATACGTCAACTTGTTAAAGATTTCACATTATTTAAATACTATTCTAAGTAACAGCGGACAACATCAAACATATACAACGCTTATTACTTATGAATATAAATGCAGAGGAGGATAAAGTGGAAATTCATTGTTAACTGTACTTCTTTCATTTGTTATACATGTAGAGAGATTGAACATTCCAATTTTTTATATTTTAAATGTAAAGAAACACCAAATATGGATTGCGAAGAATTGATCGCCAGCAGAGACAAGAGACAGATGCACCCGGCATTTAACAACTTTCAGCCTATTTCAAGTGCTCTGTACACATATTTATAAGGATATGATGATTTGCTATAAGCTAAACAGTTGCCTATCAATAACGGTTTCCTCCTCCATCCTTCTTGTATTTTACTCTCATGAATCTATACCATCACTACGGCACCTTGTCATTTCGAATTACCGACTAAAGCTCCTCCTTAATCACAGCAGTTAATTTCAGCGCTAAACTGAACGTTAACTTAACGATCTGTACCTCAGCACATTATAAATTTATGAATACAAAAATTAATATTAAATTTTTTATTCCTTTACAGTTATACACATCCGCGGCAATAGGAGGACACAGTTCACTTTTTTTTAATGACCTGCTCTACTATCATCCCAGCTAATAAGATAATTTTTAGACTGATACTTTAAAAAAATGAATAAGAATCGAACTGTAGTACATTATCATTAATGGATCGTTGCAACGACGATTCAAATCTTGACAAAGCAAATGCAACCACGAGGGACCAATGTGGAAAATCAGCGCAGCACGATCCGAACACATACGGTAGACCCAATAGTCGTCACACCTTCACGGTCAAATTGGTGACCGAGCTGGACAATGGACCGGTCACCCAGCACTAAAACACACATACAAGCACACACGCAAACATACATACATACACACATACACATACACACACGATAAATGTATACAAATACTTATCCTCCCTCATATGCATATGCGCACTACAGACGTTATTTACATATGCATATACATATATGTGGAAAATTTCCTCCAAAACTGCGCAATAAAACCTCTTTCCTGCAAGTGTTATAGGAGAAGTTGGCTAGCTTTAAGCACTAAGGTCTGTAGTTTGTCGGGAATAGGACGAAGTTAGAGGTTGTGAGAACAACAGCTGCATTAATATTATCAAACTAACAGATCGTTCTGTCGAACTTCCAAAATTTCCAAAATCCAAATTCATTCCGGATAAACTCAGAAAGAAATCATAAAAGAAGAAACT